GCCGGGCTGCGGGTCTCGGGGCGGCAGCAGCGAGTAGGTGAGCTGGGCGTTGGCGCCCGAGTCTCTGTCCGTGGCGCTGACGGTGCCGATGTGCAGGGCGGGGCTGTTGTTCTCGGGGACCAGCAGGGTGTAGGAGGCCTGGGTGAAGGTCGGGGCGTTGTCGTTGACGTCGGAGACCTGCACGGTTAGGTTGTGCTGGGTTCTCAGCCTGGGTGTGCCCAAGTCGGTGACCGTGATGGTGATGTTGTACTCAGATCTGCTCTCTCGGTCCAGCGGACTTTCAGTTAACAGGGTGTAAAAGTTCTTGAAAGTCTGCTTTAGAATGAATGGAAGATTGTCTGGAATAGAGCAGATCATCTTTGCATTGTCTCCAGAATCTCTGTCTCCCACTCTGAAGATAGACACAATTGTCTCAGGAGCGTTTTCTGGGATGGGGCTCGTGAGTGAAGTTACTGTGAGTTCAGGGGCGTTGTCATTCACATCCACCACCTCCATGACTATTGTGCCTTTCCCAGAAAGGCCTCCTCCATCCGTGGCTTCAATTTCCACGTGGTAAGACTTAATTTTTTCAAAATCCAGTTTCTTTTTCAGTCGGATTTCTCCGGTGAATTCATTTATTGAGAAAGTTCGTTTAATTTCATCTGATGGTTGGAACAAGCCATAGGCAACACTCCCGAAATTCCCAGCATCCATGTCTCTAGCTGAGACGCTGAGGATAGGGGAATCTAAGGGGCAGTTCTCCAGGACCTGCACCTCATATGGGGTGTGCACAAACTCGGGGGTATTGTCATTGACATCCATGATGAGGATTTGAACCATGACGGTGCCAGACCGCGGTGGGGACCCACCGTCCAGAGCCGTGAGGGTTAAACTGTACTCAGCCTGTTCCTCCCGATCCAGCGGCTTGTCCTGCACCAAGTCTGGGAATTTCTTGCCCTCACTATGATTTCGAGTGAGAACGTGAAAATGAGAATTAGGGCTGATTGTGTAGTTTTGAAGCCCATTGCTGCCCACATCCAAATCCTCAGCTAATTTCAGGGGAAATACAGTCCCTGGCTGGCTGTTTTCAGGTATTTTCAAGAGCACTTCCGTATCAGGGAATATCGGAGAATGGTCATTAATGTCCTGGATCCATAATTCCCCTTGAAAAAATTGCACTGGCATTTCGAGGAACACTTGGAAATGCAGCACACAGGGTTCGACAGGTCCACATAACTCTTCTCGGTCTAGCGTCTCCCTTAGCAGCAAATCTCCGGTCTGAGGATCCAGCAACAAATGCTGCTTGTAATGGTCAGAAACTACCCTCGCTGACCGGTCAGCCAGTTCCCCTCTTTCCAGCCCCAGGTCTTTGGTCAGATGAGCTATAAAGGAGCCACTCTCTGTTTCCTCTTGAACAGAGTAATGAATATGCTGTAGGTGAACCTGAGACAAGAATACTATGAAAATTAAGGTCATCACTTGCCTGATTGATTGAATTCTCTGTAGCTCCTCCATGTTTGAGACCGGGTTCCTGTATACAGTGCTTCAGCGCTCACCAAAAGACTGGAGGTAATGATTTCCGTTTTCTTGTTTGGAGATATTGTCACAAAGTTGCTTTTAATCCAAAACCGTTTAGTATTTTGTGATCCAAACCGGATGATACCTCTGCAGTGCTTGCAAAGGTTTTTGTCTGTGATTCCTTCTTGAAACAAAAGGGTTTATTCACAATCTTAGCCTGCAGCGCCACCCTGCGTCTTGCTTGAGCAATTAGTATAGTATTTTCAATCAGAGAAAATTTTCTAAGTTTCTAAATGTTAGGAACATTATTCTTTAAATAGTTTAACAAAGTTAGTGAGTTACAGTGCATCAACTAGAATACAGAGCACAGAGTGCAGAATATCCCCAACTATTATCTGAGTGTCCTACAGCCTATCAATGAAGCTTCGAAGAACTCCATTTCGCATTTGTGTAATCTAACCGAGAGGTAAGCTCTTATAAAATGTCTATTCATAGAATCTATTCATAATATTTATATCTGTTTTAAGAATGTGTGAGCTTCAGGATGATTCAAAAGCTTAAGATATTTTGTTCCACATGATCCAAACGAAACTATTTTTAAATTAGGTTCTATTTTCCTACACTGGTATGCAAATAATAATACAATTCAATAATAAGTTAACTTGTTTTGCATTAAGTCATTCACAGTATGAACCAACACTAAATTTTGAAATAATGTCAAATAATATTAGAACTGAATTTTAAGAACCGGAGAGCAAATGAAAGAGAATTTACAGTTAAGGAAGCTGAAATTAGAGGGTGATAGGACTTAAATTATTGTACTTGTATTATCAGGATATCAAGAAAAAAAACAGGTGAGTACAAAAAATCACAGATAAGAATCTATGATAAAATGTTTAAGCTGTATATATTTAACTAGATAGACGTAATCTACATTTTATAATGAACTTGCCTGTTACCACACTCATCCTTTTTGTCTCAGGCATCATAGTCCTGGACCAGCAGCTTCGGGAGAAAATAAGGGGCACTGACTTAAAAACATTTTAATCTGTGAGCCATGAGAAAAGGATGCCTTAGGGTCTGTCTATTCACACATGCTGAAGGGGAAAAATGAGTATAAAATGGATTGGAGCAAAGTGTGTAATTACTGGTACCACAGAGACAGAGATAAATAACATTATTTACAATTAATATTTTGGATGAAGCATCACCTATTCTCCCACATAGAAAACTTTCTTCCCTTAAATATCTTATTTCAATTAATTATCAAATTAATACATTAATTGTAATTTAATTCATACTTCACATTAAATTATTTTGAAAGTATGTCAATAATCTCATATTCTGACGATGGTAGAAAATATTAGTAAAAATTCCTTTTGAAAGAAATATGGATTACAGTAGTCATTCAATGAACACCAGTTGAATAAATAATTTAACCCACTCAAATAATTGTTTCTCTTTATGTAAGCAGATTATTGTCACATCACGAATATATCTAAACATGAATATAGCTGAACATGAATATATCTGAACATGAATAGAGAATTAAGAGATTAGACTATAATACACTATTCAATTAAATTTATTTTTATTCTATTTCTATTAATTCTTATAAATTTTATAGCAGTGACAGTAATAATACCTTAGAAATATCTTTCATATTTAATTAAGATAAATCAGAAGAGATACAATGTATATAAATGTGAAATGAGAAAAAACATATACTGCAAATAATACGAAAATATTATTATTATTATTATTATTATTATTATTATTATTTGGTTTTTGAGACAGGGTCTATGTAGTTGAGACTGACCTGGAATTCACTGTGTAGGCCAGGCTGGTCTCAAAATCACAGCAATCCTACTGCCTCAGCCTCCCGAGTGCTGGGATTACAGGCATGTGCCACCATGCCTGGCTAGAAAATATTATTTTTACATAAACTGAAGTCTGGGCAAACAAAGAGAAAATTGTTCCTAATATAGTGGCGAGATTAGAATCAAGCTAAACAGTTCAGAACAAAATAAAATTATTTTCTTTGTGTATTCCTACACATTTACAAAGAAAGTGGTTGAGTCAGTTCTTTCCAGGAAAGCAAAGAAAAATCTAAATTATGATAAAGTGATATGCCACTATATGGCAGATATTATTCAAAGCATTTTGCATATATTAACTCACTGTATCTCTCAAACAACCTATGACAGTTACATTTTATAGAAGAAGTTGAGGCACAGAGAGTTTAAATAAATAACTTGTCCAAAGTCACATACTATGTGAAATGGCAGAGCTAGGATTTGAATATTGTAGCTTCAGAGTCCATTCTTTTATATGGCTTAGTGAAACTGGAGAGATGAACATCTTAGAAAAATTAGGTCCAAATCTCAGTCTTGACTTGCATACATAGACATACGTGAAATATGTTTGTGTTCAAGTTTTCAATTATTATTAGAACCTTTAAAATGTTTAGTCTTCCTTTACAGGTAGTAGTACAGATGCTTATTCAAGTTAGGAATTGGAAGGAAAATGAATACTAAATATTGGTGTTACTATCATTAATTGTGTGAAAAAACCTACATCTCCATAGCCTTAAGTACTGGAGAAAGATAGCAATGTATAGATCTTCTAAAATGTGATTAGATTCCAAAAATGGATTTCAAGTTACAATAAAGAAGAGCACCTTACAAGGATGGCCTAGCAGTTTATGTTGGATTTTCCCAAACTTATCAGGAAAAAAACCTATTATACTACCTACATGTATACCTACATAAAAGGGGAGTTTGTGATATAAAGAATGATCACCTAAAAACTATTTTATCACAGTCAGGTAAGGTTTATTATCAGAGATTCTTATGACTATATACATAATAGTTCACCAGATCTGAAGCACGATATACTGTTGTTTTCTATTTTAAGTATGCAAAGAGTTTGAATAGTAGTCAGTAAATTAAATAGCAGCTTAAACTCTTCCCTGGTAATATATAGGAAAGAACATTATACACTATTGAATAAAAGATAAAAAATCTTTTTAAAGAAATCTGAATACAAGTATTACTAAAGTTCACAATACTAAATCTATATTTTCATGTTTTGAATAGTCTATTGTTTAAAACAAGGGTGTTCTTTAAACATCATTATGACTTACATGTCGTTTTGTTTTGTTTTGGTACCAGAGATCGAACTCGGGTCAATGAGTTTGCAAGGCAGGCACCAGAACCACTGAGTTAAATCCGTGCCCATGTTGTTTTGTTTTTAACTCGAAAGCAAAAAGTGGAGAGATTAGTAATAGTTCAAAGAAAGTGAAAAAATTAGTGAAATGGATATTTTAGTATGTGTGTGTGTGTGTGTGTGTGTGTGCGCACGCGCGCGCACTGCTGGGATCTTTGCTAGGAACTTGCATTTGCTAGCACTCTAACACTGATCAAAATACCCATAACCCCTAAGTATTTTTAGAGTTAACAAGTGTTATTCTTTAAGTTATATTTCTGGTAATACTACTTCAAAATTTTAAGGTAACAATAATAGTATCACTAGTTTGTGGAATTTATATATATTCTTATAGACGGAATCATCTTTTGGAATGTTCTACAGAACAGAGATAGGTAGATTGATTAGATTAGACTCATCAGCTGGCTTGGGATGAGATGGCTGTGAAGCAAACAATAATGCTAACTGGTGAAAGCAAACTAAGTTTTAATATTATCTAATTTTCCAAATTTATTATTTTTAAAAATCACATTCATTCAAACACAAATATAGGAAGGACATACTTGAATAGAGTTTGATTTGAGAAAATATTGATGGAACCCAAGACAGCTTCTAATATATAATAAAGAAAAAGATAGTATTCATGTATTTAATATACCAAAATATTCCAGTATCTAGTTTCTAATTCAGATTAATACTTTTAAAATACAAAAATGCAACTCTTAACACCTTTGTTATTCTATTTTAAATGATTTTTTATATTCTGTATCTCTCGTATTTTAATACAAATATTAGACTTAGTTTGTAATTTTTTTCAGGAAAAAAGCAATTTGAGATTTTGATAGAGATCCCAGTGAATCCTTAGACCAATGTTAAAGTACAACAGTCATTTAAACAATGCTGTCTTTCAATATGTGAACATTTTCTACTTAGAGTACTTAGGTGTTTTTTAATTTTTCTTTAATTATTTTCAATACTTTTTCTAGTGTTCAATGTAAAATTCTCCTCTTGTTTAATTAATTTATTTGATTAGGCTTTTGAGTTAAGCTCTCACTATATAGTCTAGGCTAGCCTCAAACTCATGATCCTCCTGACAATGTCTCTGAGTGCTAGGATTACAAGTGTGCACACCATCATACCTGTCTTTTCCTCCTTTCTTTTTTAAATTTACTTATGAGTGTTTTTGCTTTTTGAGGGTATTGTAAGTGGAATTTTTTCTTGATTTCATTTTTGTTTTGTTCAATGATAATGCATAGGAATAAAATTAATTTTTGTATATTAGTCTTGTATTCTTCAAGCTTGCTGTAGTTACGAACTTTTATAGTTTATTGTGGATTCCTTTGCATTTTGTACGTGTAAGATCATGTCATCTGTGAATATAATTCTATTAATTCATTTTCCAATCTCAATAATTTCTTCAGTTTTCCGTTTTTAATGGTTGGAACTTCTTGCATAATACTAAGTATAAGCAGTGAGAGCTAACATGACTGTTTTGTTTCTGACTGGAGGAGATAAACTTTCAGTCTGTCACTATTAAATATGAACTTAGCTGTGGGGTTTTATAGTTATCCTTTATCATCTTGAGGGGTTATCATAATATTCCTAACTAAGTGCTTTTGTCATTAAAAGATGCTGGATTATGTAAAATATTTTTCTGCACTTATGAGGTGGTTGTATGATTTTGTCCATTATTCTGTTAATTAAGGTATAGTGCAGTGATTGATATTTTTATGTTGAACCAGTGTTTCTCTCTGGGATAAATCATACTTAGCCATGGTGTATAATCTATGTTTACGTTCTGGAGTTAGTTGGCTATTTTGTTAATGATTTTGCACTTATTTTATAATGGAAATTAGTATATAGGATTTTCCCCTTTTATTTGTCTTGTTTTATCATTAGTATACTGGCCATATAGAATGAGTTGAGAAGTGGTCCCTACTCCTCTGTTTTTTGAATTATTCTGTCAAATATTATTGATTCATCTTTAAGTGTTTCTTAGAATTCATCAGTGAAGATCTTGTCCTGGCCCTGTTTTTGTAGAAAAGGTTTTCATTACTGATTCAAGATCTTGTTATCCATCTATTCTGATTGTGTCTATTTCATCCTTAGTTATGGGCATTTTTGTGTTTCTAGAAATTTTTTCCTTTCATCTAGGTTTTGTAACTTGTTAGCTAAAAAATGGTCAATTCCCTTATAACCCCATGTTCCCCCTTTAAGGTACAGTATA